AGATTTTTCCATTTTCTGACATCTTCTTCAATTTCTTTTTTCAGGGACTTAAAGTTCTTGTCATATAGGTCCTTCACTTGCTTAGTTAGTGTTACCCCAAGGTATTTTGTATCATTTGTGGATATTGTAAAGGGTGATGTATCTCTGATTTCCTTCTCAGCCTGTTTGCCAATTGTATATAGGAGGGCTACTGACTTTTTTGAGTTGATCTTGTACCCTGCTATGTTGCTGAAGATATTTATAAGCTGTATCAGTTCCTTGGTTGAATATTTGGTGTCACTCAAGTATACTATCATGTCATCTGCAAATAGGGAAAGCTTGACTTCTTCCTTTCCAATTTGTATCCCATTAATCTCCTGATGTTGTCTTATTGCTCTGGCTAGAACTTCAAGTACTATATTGAATACGTATGGGGAGAGTGGACAGCCTTGCCTTGTTCCTGATTTTAGTGGAATCACTTTGAGTTTCTCTCCATTTAATTTGATGTTTGCTGTTGGCTTGCTGTAAATTGTCTTTATTATGTTTAGGTATGTTTCCTGTATTCCTGATCGCTCCAAGACCTTTATCATGAAGGGATGTTGGATTTTGTCAAATGTCTTTTCTACATGTGGTGCGATGATCATGCGGGTTTTTTTTCTTTGAGTTTGTTTATATGGTGTATTGCATTGATGGACTTTCGTATGTTGAACCACACTTGCATCCCTGGAATGAAGCCTACTTGATCATGGTGGATAATTGTTTTGATGTGTTCTTGGAGTCTGTTTGGCAGTATTTTATTGAGTATTTTTGCATTAATGTTCATGAGGGAGATTGGTCTGTAGTTCTCTTTCTTTGTTGCATCTTTGTTTGGTTTGGGAATCAGGGTAATTGTAGCCTCATAGAAGGAGTTTGGTAATGTTCCTTCTGTTTCTATTGTGTGGAACAATTTAAAGAGTATTGGCATTAACTCTTCTTTGAAGATCTGGTAGAATTCTGCGCTGAAACCATCTGGTCCTGTCCTTTTTTTGGTTGGGAGACTTTTAATAGAATCACTTATTCTATTTTCTTAGGGGTTATTGGACTATTTAAATAGTTTACCTGGTCTTGATTTAACTTAGGTATGTGGTACCTATCCAGACAATTATCCATTTCTTTTCGATTTTCCAGTTTTGTGGAGTAGAGGTTTTTGAAGTATGACCTGATGATTCACTGGATTTCCTCATTGTCTGTTATGTCCCCCTTTTCATTTCTGATTATGTTAATTTGGATGCTCTCTCTCTCTGCCTTTGGTAAGTTTCGATAAGGGCTTGCCTATCTTGTTGATTTTCTCAAAGAACCAACTCTTTGTTTCATTAATTTTTTGTGTTGTTCTCTTTGTTTCTATTTTATTGATTTCAGCTCTCAATTTGATAATTTCCTGGCATCTATTCTTCCTGGGTGAATTTGCTTCTTCTTGTTCTAGAGCTTTCAGGTGTGCTGTTAAGTTGCTAGCGTGAGATTTCTCCAACTTCTTTATGTGGGCATTTAGTGCTATGAATTTCCCTCTTAGCAGTGCTTTTATAGTGTCCAATAAGTTTGGGTATGTGGTGTCTTCATTTTCATTGATCTCTAGGAAGTCTTTAATTTCTTTCTTAACCCATTGGTGATTTAGTTGAGCATTATTCAGTTTCCATGGGTTTGTAGGTTTTCTGTAGTTTTTGTTGTTGTTGAAATCTAACTTTATACCATGGTGTTCTGATAGAATGGAGGAGGTTATTCCAATTGTTTTGTATCTGTTGATATTTGATTCATGGCCAATTATGTGTTCAATTTTAGAGAAAGTTCCATGGGGTGCTGAGAAGAAGGTATATTCTTTTTTGTTAGGATGGAATGTCCTGTAGATATCGATTAAGTCCATTTGAGCCATAACATCAGTTAAGTCTTTTATTTCTCTGTTAAGTTTCAATTTGGCTGATCTGTCCAGTGTTGAAAGTGGGGTGTTGTAGTCTCCCACTATTAATGTGTGGGGTTTTATATGTGGTTTAAGCTTTAGTAATGTTTCTTGTACATATGTGGATGCCCTTGTGTTTGGGGCATAAATGTTCAGAATTGAGACTTCATCTTGGTGGATCTTTCCTGGGATGAGTATGTAATGCCCTTCTTGATCTCTTTTGATTGATTTTAGTTTGAAGTCTATTTTGCTGCATATCAGGATGGCTACACCCGCTTGCTTCTTAAGACCGTTTGATTGGAAAGTCTTTTCCCAGCCTTTTATTTTTAGGTAGTGTCTATCTTTGAATTTGAGATGTGTTTCTTGTATGCAGCAGAAAGATGGGTCCTGCTTTCGTATCCATTCTGTAAGCCTATGTCTTTTTATAGGTGAATTAAGTCCATTGATATTGAGGGAAATTAATGACCAGTGATTGTTCATTCCTGTTATTTTTTGGTGGTGATGTGTGGGTACTTCTATACGTTGGGGTTTACTGCTGTGGCTTTATCTGTTGCCTGTGTTTTCGAGGGTGTATCTGACTTCCTTAGGTTGGAATTTTCCTTCTAGTGCTTTCTGTAGGGCTGGGTTTGTGGATAAGTATTGTTTAAATCTGGCTTTGTCATGGAATGTCTTGTTCACTCCATCTATGGTGATTGAAAGTTTTGCTGGGTATATTAGTCTAGGCTGACATCCATGGTCTCTTAGTGTCTGCATTACATCTGTCCAGGTTCTTCTGGCTTTCAAAGTCTCCATTGAGAAATCGGGTGTTATTCTGATGGGTTTGCCTTTATATGTCACTTGGCCTTTTTCCTTTGCTGCTCTTAATATTCTTTCTTTATTCTGTACGTTTAGTTGTTTAACTATTATGTGGCGAGGGGACTTTTTTGGGGGGTCTAGTCTGTTTGGTGTTCTATAAGCTTCTTGTATCTTCATAGGCATTTCCTTCTTTAAGTTGGGAAAGTTTTCTTCTATGATCTTGTTGAATATATTTTCTGTGCCCTTGAGTTGGTATTCTTCTCCTTCTTCGACCCCTATTTTTCTTAGGTTTGGTCTTTTCATGGTGTCCCAAATTTCTTGGACATTTTGGTTCATGACTTTGTTGGCTTTAGTGTTTTCTTTGACTGATGAATGTATTTCTTCTACTGTATCTTCAACGCTAGAGATCCTCTCTTCCATCTCTTGCATTCTGTTGATTATACTTGCATCTGAAGTTCCCAATCGTTTTCTCAGATTTTATATTTCCAGCATTCCCTCTGTTTGTGTCTTCTTCATTTTTTCTATTTCCCTTTTCAGGTCTTGGACTGTTTCCTTCATTTGTTTCATTGATTTTTCTTGATTTTCTCTCAGTATTTTATTGTTTTCTTCCAGGACTTTATTGATTTCTTCTAATTTGTTTGCCCTTTCCCCTAGTTGTTTACAGCGTTCTTTACATTTTTTTGTCTTTTCCTCTACACAAGCCTCTAGCTTCTTCATGATGTCATTCATAAGGCTGTTTTCTTCTGCTTCTTCCAATTTCTGATGTTCAGGTCTAGGTGTTGGAGGAGGGCTAGGGCCTGGTGATGCTGTATTGCTATTCATTTTGTTGTATATGTTTCTGCCTTGACGTCTGCCCATCTCCTTGTAGTTCGTTCTTGGCCTTATCCGCACACTTGGTTCAGACAGACCAGTGTTCCAAAAGGGAAGTCAGTGTTCCAAAAGGGAAGTCCGGAGCAAGATGGGAGCTGGGGGCCGGCCTCTAAGTCTCAGGAAGAGGCTTGGGGCTCAGGCGGATGGGCGTGGGGGCAGGGCATGGAGACTGCAGGGTCTGCCAGGGGTCTTGGAGAAGGGGATCCTTCACGGTGGGGCTAGCAGGGAGCCTGCCCGGTGGCCAGAACCTGGGGCCGAGTTGGGCAGGTCTTCCCTGGAGTGGCTGGTGCCCAGGGATGGGGTCTGGGGCAAGGACGGGCACTCACCAGTGTTGTAAAAGGGAAGTTTGGAGCAAGATGGGAGCTGGGGGCCGGCCTCTAAGTCTCAGGAAGGGGCTTGGGGCTCAGGCGGATGGGCGTGGGGGCAGGGCGTGGAGACTGCAGGGTCTGCCAGGGGTCTTGGAGAAGGGGATCCTTCCCGGTGGGGCTAGCAGGGAACCTGCCCGGTGGCCAGAACCTGGGGCCGAGTTGGGCAGGTCTTCCCTGGAGTGGCTGGTGCCCAGGGATGGGGTCTGGGGCAAGGAAGGGTACTCACCAGTGGGGAAATTACATTTTTATTTACAAAAAAAAAATACAGTCATTTTACTCAATAGTGCCTTAAAAGGAGCACAATATAAACAGTAAACAGCCGGGCGGTGGTGGCGCACGCCTTTAATCCCAGCACTCGGGAGGCAGAGCCAGGCGGATCTCTGTGAGTTCGAGGCCAGCCTGGTCTCCAAAGCGAGTTCCAGGAAAGGCGCAAAGCTACACAGAGAAACCCTGTCTCGAAAAAAAACCAAAAAAAAAAAAAAAAAAAAAAAAAAAAAAAAAAAAACAGTAAACAGCATTATCAAAATACCAAACAACAAGAACAAAAGAAAGAACAAATGAATTCAAAACCTCAAACCATAACAAAGAAAACCAAAAAACCCAAACCAAACAAAACCCAACAAAACAATCAAACAAAAAAAAATTAAGCTAAGCAGCTTGCTTAATTAAAATAATAAGATTAGGTTAATCATGCAACAGACTTTGAAGCACAGACCAACAGCCTGTGGCTGGCCTTGGAAACATGGTAGGAAGGCAGTCACAATTGTAAAAAGCATTTTCAAAGCAATTATAGCCATGCTTCCTTGGAATCTCATAGGATGTCTTCTTCTGAGGAGGCTACGATCCATGGGTTCAAGTTGTCTGTGGCGTCTTTGGCCTCCTCAGTTCTCTCATAGCAGCTGTGAGAGAAGGAAAGGCAATCATTCCCAGAAGCAGCCTGCCTGGGCCACAGGCTAGACAAAATTAGGTCTATTCACATCGGAAACCAAGGTCAAGAGCCCCCAGTCCCCATGAATGCCATGGTTGCAGGGGTTGGAATGCAGTGGTGGCTCACTTGCCTGTGATACTTTCTGCTCCTGCTCCAGCAGCTCTGTCTGCAGGAGGCGCTCATCCTGGGGTGTGACATGTTCCAGCTCAGGCTGGAGATTTTCTGACCTAGAGGAGGAAGGCAGTTAGGGAACAGGCCTGGTGGGGACCTGCTATATCAGCTGTTGAGCCTGAACCAGCTCTAGTCAGCTGGACAGTCCAGCAGGACCTTTCAGCTGAGGTCATTCCCTACATTTCCTAGCAGAGAAATGTCAGCTTATACCTAGGTCTGGGTTTAATTCTCAGCTTTTAAAATCTACTAGAAAATGAACTGAGAACTACACTGTGCTGGGCAAGAAATTCAGCATGAATTTCCAGTTCTCAAGATACATTGTTGTGAGAAAAAATAACAGTGTCTGATAAACAGTTCAGGGAAGATATAGATGGCCCTGATTAGATACCAGGTGAATGAGCAACCTGGGAAACTGAATGTAGACCCTCTAGAGAGTCTACAAAATAAAAGTAGTGAAGGTTCTGATTATTCCTCCAGCACAGAGACCTGCCTGAGTTCAACACCTCAACCCCTAAATAATCTCATGTCCAGTGAAATCTATTCACAGGAGACAGATGCGCAGTGCAGAGAGCGTGTAATCAGCAAGAGTGTGCTGCATGCAGATCTGCCCAAGTAGGACATTTTCTGTAAAGGTGATGTTCTAAAAGGAAAATAAAGTGACAGGAACACACCCTGTCCTCCAAAACTAACCCTCATCCTGCTAGATTGAGGGCTACCATAGTGACATTTATGGGGAGACACAGGGGACACTGAGAAGATACCAGAGAGCTCAGAAGGGAATAAGGGGTACACATTCCCCAGAAACATTAAAGATCAAACATAGTGTTTCCTGGAGAAGTTCTTGTTAACTGGGCCAGCACAATACCCTGAGGTGGTCTTTCCTTGGCTGTGGCTGAGAGTCATCCAGATAGGGAGAATCCCAAAAAGGACAGAGATCCAGGTACAGGTGACCTACATGGTTCTAACCACTCCTCCCAGCTTGGGCTCCTACCTCATCTCAGAGACATTGAAGTGATGTTGCAGCTTTTCTGCCAAGTCCCTTTGCTGGGTGACCAGCTCCTTCTGCTTCAGCATGTCCTTCAGTCTTTCCTCCAGGTTTTCTTGTACCTGCTCATTAGAAGATTGTGTTCTCAGTGGACTTTTGCTCACTCACGTGGACACACATAAAGTCAGGAAAGCACACAAGTACATGAATGCACACATACAAGCACACTGTAATGCACTAACATGTTTAGTTTCCCAGCTAATGCTAATATAAAGAGCAATCACCAGAAATACTATTAAGAAGAAGATTAACTTTTCTTGGATGAGAAACGAACACAGTGAGCATGAGAGATAGGCAGTTCATACCCTGAATAGACTGTCCTGTAACCTAATGCACAGGCAGGTAACCTCTGGGGTCCTGGCCCATTAGCCAACCCTGCTTAGGAAGTTCCCCAAGCTGTGCAGTATAGGAATTAACCCCAGCACAGGACCACTGCATGGTGGTGGACCAGACCACTGATCTTGTTCAGGGCTTCCCAGTTTCCCTCAAAGTGATCAAATTCCTCCAAGAGAAGCTCCCTTTACCACAGGCTGCCTCACTTCAGACCCAAAGCAATGAGTGCAGGAAACTAGAAAATCTCCACAACCAGGATCCAAAAGGAACAGTTCCTCCCTGTAAGGTGATCATTTCAGAAGTTTGTATGAGTAACAAAAGGCTGACTAAATCAGAGTCAAATGATATTCCATGGAAGGGCTCAGCCACACTGTACTACACTCTTCCAATAATGGACATCTAGATAGTTTCTACTAGAGGCTTCTCTGAGGAATGCTACTAAAACTCTGCTGCCCTCTAGCTTCTCTAGGGACATCTATTTCATGTTCTGGATCACTGTGTCACCTGGGGATTGCAGTTCAACCTTCTGAAGAATTGTGTGTGGCTTCTCACTGCACTATATCATTTTATATGACCAGCAATGTCTGAGGGTTCTCATTTCTCCCAGCCCTCATGAGGTGGATTTTAACTCAGAATGAAGAACTCTGAAGAAAAGCAGTTACTGAGTGCTGCATGCACAGCACATGGTGAGTGCTTTAGACACTCATGAGCCTAAGTTGGGTGTGCTGAGACAGCCCCCTTCTCACACCTCAGCACGGCTAGGGGACTTCTGCTGGACTTGGATGCAGAAAGATGCACACTGCAAGTCAGACTCTCTCAACAAATAACATCCAGTCCAAGCTCCACAGTCAAGGTAAACTGAGCCAAGGATAGGCAAAAGTGGAAAGAAAGTGGTAGCAGGCAATGTGGATGAGGACAAGACAGGGCACAGAGAAGACAAAGTAAGCCACAGACCATTGAGTATGCAGTCACCATTCACCCAGGGCAGAGAAGGGACACAAACTCTCAGCCAGCCAATCCTGCCTCAAAGACACAATGGCCTCAATTTCCTGTACCAAGTTCCTTTGGTTTGCTCCAAGGATCTCCTTGCAGATAAAAGTTTTTGACTCTACAAATCCTGAAAACCACTGAATTACAGCAGTTTTCCTATCCTTTCATTCTAGAGAGCTCGGTGGACATGTAGAAAGATGGGCAAAAGAATGCAGAATTTGATAGATGCCAAGTGTGTGGGCACAGCACATGCTCAATAATGTTAGTCTCCATCATCATTAAAGATGTTTCATGAAGACATTTGGAGAAATACACACACACACACAAGTTTACACATTCACACACAGAAGCACATACTTGCACTCATAAGCACCCATACTCCCAACACACACAAGCACTTACCCCTACACATACAGGAAACATGGGCACAGAAACACCCACTACCCCACACAAGGTCATAAACACAAACATAAAGGAACACTACTGTAGAAAGAACAGCCAGAATTCACACACACACAGAGGTTCACCCTCACAGTTGGACAGAAATGCAAACACACACACACACACACACACACACACACACACACACACTCACTTCCTGAACATAAACTGGCCAAGAGAGGACTTCTGCCTTGTAGCAGCTTTTCTGCTCTGGGGGAGGTCATGGGTCTTCCTTGCTGTGTACAAGGCTCTTAGATTCAGCCAGCCTCTGCTACCCTGGCCTGCACTCTTTTCCTTCCATGAACTTTATACATCCCAAGACTCATTGATCCCACAGTTTGCAAGGTAATCCATCATAGTCTCTTCACTAAACTTACCCTAGCTCCTCCAAGAAGACCTGGATAGCTCAAGTGAAAGAGAGTGACCCATGGTCAACACCCAGGAGGTTGTCAACAGATGACAGTGCATATGATATGAATTCAGACCCAATGTCACTCAGAAAGAGGCCAGTGACATCACCTGCAGTGCTTTTCAGGAACACAGCACACCACACAGCTATGAGAGGGAATCTGTTCTAAGACACAGCCATGCACATGATATAGTCAGCAACACAATGTCAGCAAAGAGATGCATTGTGGGATTCCGTGTTGTGAAGGCAATGAAACAAAAAAGACATTTCCTGTGGTGTTAGCTCTGTGTAGTGAAAAGGGAGAAGTCTAATTTTATTTTTAAAATAGCTGTATTGTTTGATTTTTGTTATTTATTAAAAAACACATGTATACCCAAGCAATAAAAGTGTATAAACACAAGAGAAAGCAATTTAAACTTACAACAATTGCGTGAGACAAGACAAAAGGTCCCCCTTGGGGAACAGGGGAGACAGAGTGCTGGCCAGCCAGAATGGACCAAACAGAAATTATTAGGTTCAGTGAATGACCTGGTCTCAAAGGGAACAAGGGAGTAAGCAACAGATGACAACATAGGATTTCATTATGTAGCCTCTGAACACACACATATGCACACATTTACACATGCCTGCATAGATCACACACCGACCACAGAAATCAAAAGTGAGCAGAAAACAAGGACGGGTACATCGTATTGAGTGAACAATTGAATTTAGACTATCCACATCACATGTTTTAGCAGAGAATTACAACACAGCTATCTGTCACTTGGGAACTAAAAATGCCTAGAGGAGAGCACACAGCTTAGTCAAACTATGTTGAAGTGATTGGAGAAAATGTTCTCTTGAAGCCTCAAATCTGTCACTCCAACCCTCACTCTGTCAAAGTCCTCCCACATCTATGGTCATTCAGTCAGCTCCAGACTGGAAACTCCAGGATGGAAGAACTGTCCAGCACCACCCACAGAAAACAGGCTGACAAGCTGATACTCAGGCCTCCCACAGTATGGACCAAGAGTTAAGCTAAGGGAAGAGAGCACACTGGGATGTAGGAAGAAAGGAGAAGACCACATGCCACCCCAAAATTGACCCCAAAATGAGAACTACTCACTTTGCACTAGCCCTGGGCTCTAATTCTTACAAGCTGTTTCCTACCTGAGATCTCACATGACATCTGCAAAGCAAATGAGCCACAGGCCACTGACCTAATCAATGAGAGCTCTGTGATATTCTCCAAGTAGCTCTCTACATAGCAGACTGGTAACATAATAACATGTAGGTAGGTGTGTTATAGCTGACTGACCCATCTCTCTAGCAGAGCAGGAGGGTTTGTTTGCCAATCATCCAGTATCTTGAAAGAGGCTAACTCTACAGAGAGACTTGTGAATGATCACAGAAATGAACAATTGGATGGTATGTAAGTGGGAGTCTGCATGGATGGTGGATGGTTACATGGGTGTCTCTATGTCTATGGTTGGACAGTTGGGCAGCCTGCCCCTAGTGCCTCAGCCTACCTGCAGCTGCTCAGCACAGGGGTCACAGATCTTCTCATGGGCCTCCTTCAAGAGCTTCTTCACCTCCTCACAGGTCTTTTGCAGTTCAATCTGCTCCTTCCACAGCTGTATGTTCTGGATCATCAACGTACGTACATTCTTCTTTAGGTGATTACACTCTTGTAGGAACCGGCCATGGAGGTAACTGAACCACCAAAAAAAAAAACAAAAGAAAAAAAAATGGTGAGCCTCAGAGAGGCTGCATTTGCCATCTCTACTTCTTTTTTTTTTTTACAGGGTTTCTCTGTGTAGCTTTGCGCCTTTCCTGGAACTCACTTGGTAGCCCAGGCTGGCCTTGAACTCACAGAGATCCGCCTGGCTCTGCCTCCTGAGTGCTGGGATTAAAGGCGTGCGCCACCACCGCCCGGCCGCCATCTCTACTTCTAAATGCTACTAACCCTGAAAAGTCGGAGGCCCCCAGACAGCATAAGAGTGGTGCTCTCAGTAGCCAAGCCAGCATCACTCAAATGCAGGCCACATCCAGAGAATAACCAAATTCTGGATAGATTCAAATTACTTCTGAAAATCCTGGTACCAAAAGGGATCCTGTGCCTCTAAGAACAGGGTGCACCCCACACCTGTGCTTAACTGTTCATGGTCTTGGGAAAGCATCAGCAGGTAGAGGGCAAACACTCTCTGAAGGAGGCCAGAAGTCCCAACCAGAATAAATTCTCTCTACAGATCCCAGGCAAACCAGATCTGTGAAGCTCCAACCAGAGTCCTGGAGGCCCTGGGCTGCAGGACATCCCCTTCATGATGCAAACGATATTCCTATCTAAGGGCTCCCACAGCTGGACAATGATGGGAGGGCCTCAGTGTTTTTCCACACTTAGCAAAACTGAGTCCAAGAGGCACAAATCCAAGGGTCACAAAGGAGGATGCTGGCTAAGAGGCACACAGGCTAGTACCAGAGCCTTCACTTTGAGTCAAGGACAAAGAAAGGCAGAAACAGTCCCTCCCAAGCTAGTAGGCACTTACCTAAAGTATTCCGTCTCCTCAATCAGCCCCTTGCACTTGTTCAAGGCATCACTAATCTCCATGGGCAATTTCTGGAGAGCTGACATCACCTGCTTGTGTTCCATTTCAAGCATCTCGAGTTCAAAATTTAGCCTGTGGTAGGGCATGGACCCAGGAGGGAAAAAAACCCATGAACACAGGCCAAAAAGAACACAGGAAAGAAGCTGTGCCATGGACTACTCCAGTGCAGTGGATGCCAAAGCATGGCACTTAAACAGTGGGACCTCCTGGTGCTTATTAAACATCCTATCCTGTCCCCAGGACAGAACAGCCAGGAGGTCTAAGGGGAGGAATCCAATGATGCATGAGCACCCACAGTGGGCTTGGAGCTCTAGATAAGCGCTCTAAGAAGTTCCCAGGAGTCTGTGTCACATATGTGGACTCACCAGAAACCTATGGGGACATTCTCCTGTCTTCAGAACAGGGATTCTCATTCCTGGGTGTCTATTGCTACACAGAGGACCAGAGCACACAATCAGTACTTCCAGGAGGGAGCCCCAACTTCAGGATGGTTTTGTAAACTTCACATGTGATTCGAATGTTCTTCCAAGGTGAGCACAGAGCTCAAAGTGGGGTTCCCTGGCCTCAGGAGTGCCATCATCTGGAAGCTATGTTAAATCCTCAGACCATGCCACAGCCCCCAGGCTCTCAGGAACACACACACACACACACACACACACACACACACACACACACACACACACACACACACCAGATGAAATCAGGATACCCAAGAAATATTGGCATGTGGAATTGTCACAAAGTATAAGAAGACCAGAGGGGAGCTATGATGAGCTCCAGGCCTTCCAGCCACACCCTGAGATGGATGAATGAACCAGGCCCCTCCAGCTGCTGCCAGGAGCTTTCAGCACACGGTCATCTGCTAGTCAAGTACAAAGACTCACCACAAACTCTCCGCACCTAGCATCACCCACAAGCCACACCTGTCAAGACCTCTTACTGTCCCTATCCTCAGACTGTGATTCAAGCCTTAGGCTCTGCTTTTCATTTGGAGGAAGCAGACAAGCCTGCATCCCCATCTCACTCCTAACCAGGCTCCAAGTTCTGCATCTCAAAAAAACTCATGAAAATTAATTTAGGCAGCAGAACACCATGGAGTTTCACCCTCTGATTCCTCAGGAAACCTGGGCTTGATACTATGGTGTCAAGATGGCCAGGAGAGAACTGGGCATAATGACTACCTGTTGTTCAAATCCTTGTTTGTGTAATTGGCCAGGATTCCACACAGCTCATTTCTCTCACATTCCATATCATGTAGACGAATGGTGAGTTTCTCTAGTTTTTTCATTTCCTGCTCCTGCTCCTGCTCAGTGAAGGTGGAGAGTTGGGATGGTGCCACCCGAGTAGTCCCTGCAGGTAGATAAAGACAAATGAACTTGTCTTCTTGAATGGCATAAGACCAGGAGAGTCCATGCTGAGGCCCAATATGAAGCCTAAGGAAGAGAAAATGCTAGGAACCCAGTGAAGCTTCCAAACAGCAGGTCAGCTATCCTCAAACTGGGGCCCCTGAGCTCTGTCTCTGTCCTCAAGCACTGTGGATAATCTTGTGCCTCCCTCCCTAATGTAGTCCCCGGGTCCTGGAAGGCCTAAGCAAGCCCAGCCAAGGAGAATTGGAGGACAGTGTAGGTCATATCTGATGTGATGCAAGTAAGTCCTGTTGTACCTAGAAGTTTGCAGAACCAAGTCCTGATCACATGTGTCCAGGACCAAAGCATCTGTATATCTGCTGTGTGGCCAAAGGGGGTTTCCCTCCCTTCCTATTGGCATCAGATTTCCATGGAAACTGTAGGAATCCACTAGGATGAAGTGTAGCAACACCCTACCAGAGAGAGCGAGCTCAGAGATCAATCTGTGCCTCCTGCCCCTCTTTGCCTCTAAGACTGAAATGAAGGAGTTCCGAGAAAAGCAGCTGCAGCCTGGACAATTCATGGCTCTCCTAAACTAACCATCAGAGACTCTTGACTCTGGGTCCATTCTTAAGAAGGCCAGAGAAGAAGGATAGGCTCATTGCTTCCCAGAAGCTCCCAGCTGCTGAGCTCCACTACCAGAAGGCATGGCTCGAGTTCACCTTCTCCAGGAACCTCCCATCCCTAGCTCAGGAGTCACTGTGCCTTCCCCAGAACCATTTATTTCTCCAGGTTTTACACTGAGACTGAAGGCCAGCTTCCTTCTCTAGTCTGTCCGTGTTCTCCATTCTTTCTCCCAAGCAGCCTGCTCAGTCTTGCCAACATGTCTGTGGGCACTGAACAAATAACCCACAGGCATTGGTGTTACCACAATATTGGTGACATCATAGAGAACACCAAGGGCTCTTCAGGATAGAACAGAATCTCCAGAGAAGGGACAATTAGGGTCACCACCAACAGCCTTCACTTATCCACTAACTAGCTCTTCTGCAGTTCACCAGAAGCCGTGTTACCCTTCCCAGGAGCCTTCCCAGAAACACAAGGGGAATACATTCAGCACCTCCTCCTTACAGGGCCACAGATCTCTGCTTTATTAGAGTATTTTCACTACTTCATGTATGAGAAGTTGAAGATTCTGTTCCAAACACATCCCAGGAAATGGCTCATCCCTTCTTGAGATCTCTAATCAATAACATGAGAAATAAAGGTTGTAGGAAATTAGGTCAGGATGGTGGGGTGGAAAGATCAGTCTCCTGATGTGAACAAGCACATTGTGAAGGACCCACAAGGCTGTTACAGTATGTGGGTGTGGTGGGAGATTGAGGGTGTCCTGTCAGAACAAAGAAAAGTACCACAGTTAATGAGGAAAATTACCCCGAATCATCAGCAGAATACATTCCAGCCCTCACAATGTTAGCCAATGTGTGATCAACTAGTGACATGTCAGGCTGGAGATGCTAAGGACTGGGGCTCTCCAGGTGAGCCCTGAGACAGAAGAGCAAACACTCCTAGGAAGAGTGATGGTCCGTTCCTGCACTCGAGTTTGAGGAAAGAAGAACGGTAGTGAGAAGCCAGACACAGATATGGAAGGACATTTTTAGAAAAGCAAATGTGTCACAGTCATGGGGAGAGTATGTAGTGTGTCACTGCTGTGGCTAGAGCTACACAAAAGCCAAATTCCTTGATTGGAGCCTCCTGTGACAATACACATGCCCTTAGGAAAGGTGACACAGCCAGCTTAAATCACAACATCCATCGGAGCATGAGAGAGGCGGGCAAAGGGCACAAGAGGACAGATTATTAGAGGTCCTTCACCATAGACCTTTCCCAGAGCCCCACTTCACACTTTTGAATTTACTGACAGTCCTGAAATGAGGAGCTAGCACCATGTTTGGTCTGAATTGAAAATTCACCAGAAGTCTGAACTGTGGCTTCAGAGGTGTACTTAGTGGACCCCAGAACAAATGAGTGATGTGGGGTAAACTATGTCCATTCAGATGTTATCTCACACTGACAACCATGCTAGACAAGGTGAGCTATCTCAGTAATACCAATTCTAGAAGTCAAGGGACAGTGCCTGCCCTACACACCACCTCATCTCAGTCAATCCTGACACACTGCAGAATGCTCAGGAAGTGACTGAAAGATGAGACTTTGCCCAAGCACATGCGTGCGTGCACACACACACACACACACACACACACACACACACACACACACACACACACACGGGGTTTGCACGATGAAGAAAGGATAAGACACAGTGGATCTAGAATGTAAGGTGTGAAGGATTGCCTTCCAATCTCAGAACCTCGAAGGGAGGCTGGGAAATAATTGTGTCCTGATGCTTTCAGACAGCTTGGCCATGTGAACAATGAAATGTGAGAAACACACCTCCATGTCCTGAGCCCAGCCCAGGAAAACACCCAAGAGTCTATTGCATATGGTTGCTGCTTATCACACTGACCTGTCATGGAAGAGGGTTAGGTGTCTCTCTGAGAGACAGCAGCTGAAGGACTACATCTGTCCTACAAACCACTTCATCACAGTCCAACCCTAGCACACTGAAGGATGTTCAGGAAGTGGTTGACAGATGAGACTTTGCCCTAGCTGGTTCTGAAAGCTCAGGCTGTGGGTGTCAACCTTCCTATAGCTCTGTAGAGAGGTGGGTGCTGACTTCCTCTGGCTTCCTTAGCAACGCTTCGGGGGACCCAAGTGACAGTTTCCTCAGGCATGTTCGCAGCTGCAAGTATAAAACTTGGCTTCAGAACACTCAAGTCTCTGGTTTCAGAAGTCAGGAGATAAACAGCGAAGTCCACAAGCACTCAGATGCTGTGGAGATGCCCAGATCTCCTGCTAGGTCCCTACAGCACATGGCTGTAGATAGAGAAGCCATGAAGAGGTAGATCATGGTCACTGGACTCAAGTCACCCCACTGACAGCCCAGGCACCCAGAGCTGGCAGGAAAAAGCCAGTCTCTGTCCTAGTCCACTGCTTCTCACAGTTCTTTGCTGCACCGGAGAACCGCCTGACACCCACACCTGCTGACTCAGAACCCAAAGGGAGCGCTGAAGGGAATGATGGTCAGAGGAGTCTGCTGGACAGCCTGAGGACAAAAGGTCTCGGCCAGAAGCACGTTTCCCTCCCTGTGACTGATGTCAGACATCCACTGCACCTAAGGGAAACCACTGGAGGTGAAGTGCAGTGATGCCCTGCCATGAGCATGTTACACCTCACTCGTCCCTCCCTTTCTTCCTGATGGCCTCTTTGCCTCCACCCACACACACACAATAAGAGTGAAAGCCAGGAATTCCCAGCACAACAGCTATGCCCTTGCTAGCTCCTGGCTTTAAGGACAAACTATTCTGGAATCCTTGACTTTCAGGAATTATGAGAAGCAGGGAAGTCCATTTGCTTCTCAGGCCCCAGCTCCTCTGCCCCATTACTGGAAGGCCCAGTTCAAGCCCACCTCCTCCAGGAAGCTCCCCATCCCCTGCCCAGCGCTCACTGTGCCTTCCCCAGAACCATTTCTTTCTCCGAAGGCCAGGTTCCTTCTGCCTCTCTCTGGTATTTCCATGCTCTCCATTCTCTCTCCCAAATAGCCTGCTCAGCCTTGCCAACATGCCTACGTGAGCCCGACAGGCACTGAACTAACACTCCACAGGCAGTTGGTGTCACCA